GCAATATAACAAAGAGTGAAAAATTTAAGGGGGTCTGAATACTTTCCGTACCCACTGTATATATATATTGGGGCAGGTAAGCAATTCATTTTTAACCTAATTATATGATGTGGTGATTAATCTAATTAATCGCAAATTAATCACACGTCAAATTTGGCTGAGAAATTACTCCCAAAAGATCATTTAAAGTCATTGTTGTGTAAAGCATCAAACCGACATTACAAAAAGTAGCTTCAGCAAGAAATATTTTGTTTGATAAAATTTATTACATATAGGCCTACTCTTTTGGACCATGAGGGGGAGTAAATGATGACACAATTGTCATTTTTTGGGTGGGTGAACTATACCTTTAACAATTTATTAATTTTATTATTATTACTATGGAAATATGAAATTATTTCTTTAATGAAATTATACTCTAAAAAATAAACTAAAACTGCCAGTAGGTGGTGGTAAATGTCTTAATGATTAAGTCAGAGTCATTTATTCATTCATTTGATTAACCCATTCATTCAGGAGTGAAGTAAATGGTTCTTTATGAATAGTCCATTGAATTATTAGGCTCGTTTGACATGAAGCGGATCATCACCATCAGATCGATCGGTGTGTGACATCAAAGTATTGTTTGATCAAATTTATTACATATAGGCCTACTCTTTTGGACCATGAGGGGGAGTAAATGATGACACAATTGTCATTTTTTGGGTGGGTGAACTATACCTTTAACAATTTATTAATTTTATTATTATTACTATGGAAATATGAAATTATTTCTTTAATGAAATTATACTCTAAAAAATAAACTAAAACTGCCAGTAGGTGATGGTAAATGTCTTAATTATATTAAGTCACTGAATCATTTTTTTCATTTATTTGATTCTTCAAACGCTGATTCATTCAGGAGTGAAGTAAATGATTCTTTATGAATGGTCCATTGAATCATAAGGCTTGTTTGACTTGAAGCAGATCATCACCATCAGACCGATCTGTGTGTGACATCAAAGTACCGCAAGAGCTATAGAGAGCAGACGGTTCCTTATGCTTTTGAATCTCTCTTGCGGTCCTTTGATGTCGTACACCGATCGGCCTGTGCAGTGCCGCTTCAAATCCAACGCGCCGCCAATGCTTGAACGCGCCAAATGATTCACCCAATTCATTCAAAACGTGCATTAAGAAATGAAATGCCGCTGTGTGTAGGCCTGTCGCGATAATCAATATATCGACTTATCGCGCAATATATGTACATGACCTCAATAATTTGTGGCATAAAATGGTCTTTAAAATGACAATAATATCGCTTATCGCAATTATTTCTGGGGCAATATATCGCACAACAAAAAGTTGTTATCGTGACAGGCCTAGCTGTGTGTTGCTCGGAGATGAACAGTTCTGCTTTCTTTATATTTTCGTTGGCAAAATTGAGCAAAACAGACAACATTGTGTCTAAAAAAACACAATATTAACTTATTTACTGAACTGTTGTATAAGGTCAGTATCACATTTGCACTCCTGTGATATTGCTCTTATTGCTCGTGTGATATTGCTTGACTATATGATGTAAATATGAGACAAAAATTCAAACGGGCATTTTTGCCCCATATCTTGAATTTTAGGGACATTCTAACTACGTTCTCTAGGCTCCATCACGCATCAGTTGTTGCCCTGCAACATATTTGTCATCAATCAACTGTATGAAATGTCAGATGACCCACATAGGTCTGGGGCAGGGCAAGTGTGTTAAATGCGTTAATAATTAACGCGTTATTTTTCACCGTAATTAATTAATATAATTAACACGTTAAATTACCAGCCCTGAAAAATTTTTTTTATATATATATATATACACATATACATATATAAAATATTAGTGTATGTGTGTATAGATAGAGATAGACAGATAGATAGATATGTGTATTTATTACACGCGTAGTATAACTTAACATTTGTTTTCCTCATTACAGTGGACCACTGACGAAGATTTGACCGATGCTATTCACTCAGTAGGCATCAATGATGTGCTGGAGATCAAGTTTTTTGAGAATCGAGCAAATGGACAGTCAAAAGGGTAAGTGAAGCCTGAAATTTGTTTCCTAGGTCTGTGTAAATATACAGATCAACCCTGTTGTGATGCTCAGTTACATGGTTTTTATAGAGATCAGCATCAAACATGACCTCTCTGTGCTCCACAGGTTTGCTCTGGTCTGCGTGGGTTCAGACTCCTCGTCCAGGAAGCTGATGGACCTGCTGTCCAAACGGGAGCTGCACGGACAAAACCCAATCATCACTCCTTGCAACAAACAGTCGCTCAGCCAGTTTGAGATGCAGTCGCGAAAAAGTGAGACACAAATTCACAGAAAATTCAACACATTTACTGATTGAACAGAGTTTAGTGAACTTGCCGCTGTGTTTGCGCTGCAGTTGTTTTATGATCAGTTTTTGTCCACCCAGGCATACAGTCTGGGCAGATGTCCGGAGAGGGGAAGGCAGGGCCTCCAGGCTCAGGATCTCGAAGTGGCTTCCCTCTTGGCAAGAATCGAGGGCGCTTTCCCACCCCACCTGGCCCGGGAGGAGACCGCTTTCCTGGACCAGGTGGACCTGGTGGACCTCCACCACACTTCCCAGGTACGAGTCTCTATATTAGGGCAAGGGCAGAAATTAGCTTTTCTGTAAAGGGTCTATATTTGCCCCCTCTATGTGATTTTAACAGGTGTATTGTTTTATTTTTGAATGGTCAGTTTTTATAAGTACTTTATTACAAGTGTCTGTTGTTTTGTTTTGTTTTTTGTCATAATTAAATTAATTCATCCTAGAGTATTGAAGAATTCTTTAGACTGTTACCAATAAGAAATTGATCAACATCCACAAAAGCTGTCTTTACATTTGCCCAAGGTGGCACATTTACACAACAATTGCATAATGCTGTGAGATTCATGTAATTTTAATTTTTTATTTGTTTTATTTTTACCACGTTCTGTTTTAATTGGTTTGTTCCATTTTAATGGATTTATAATTTTTTCATCAAAAAGCATGTCTAATAAATTGAATTCATAGTCAACTTAATTTTTTACCAATTGCAATTTTTTACAAATGCAAAGAAAAACAATGAAGAAAGTGTTTGATGCAACATGAGCAGATCTAAATGTAATGTCATAATCAGCATTTTGTTAATCTCGTATTGCTCTAGTTTAGTTTAGTAATTTTAGTTTGTGCAGGGGCATTTATTGCCTCTGTATCTTGACTTTGTGGGGCATTTTTGTTCATTTTGGTGGCATTTTGCCCTATTTTTGAGGCTCCAAACTGATGTTTGTTAATGAATTGCAGTGGTTTTTTAAGTTGATAAAGCTAATTATACTCGCCAAGATGGGCATTTTGACAATTTTGTATGTATTTGACCGTTTTAGCGCAGTTAGCCACTCATGTTGGTATTTGTGGCTCACGCTGTTTGAGACTGAGTGCGGCTTGTGCGATCCACTAATAAAGGTCAGTGGTGGAAACCTGCGGGATTGACTAAAATGCGCAATACAAGCACTATTTAACCGGAGCAAATGAAATGCGCGCGTGTGTGTGAGAGAGAGAAGGGGTCGTCGGAGAGAAGAGAGCGAGAATGCGCAGCTGATACTATTGCCTGTGCCGCTGGTAACAAAACGGATCGGCTCGAAATCGGAAAGAAGTGAGACTGACCGGCCGATCATGAGAAAAATCGTCCGATTCCAATCCCTGGCCAATCGATCGGTGCAGCTCTACAAATTTTTAGTCAATCATATAACTGTAAAAATACAGTCAATAAATTACTATAAAAAATAAAATAAAATGGAGCTCTTACTAAAATCAATGAAACCAATAAATATTACGTGTAATTAAGTCATGTAAATATTCAATATCAGAACCATGAACGTGCAAATGGCTGTTTTTAAGTCATTGAAATACTAACTTAAAATCTCATGGGGACTTCTAGTTATTTTTCAGTCAAAGGGGTTTGTCTGACAAAATTTTGGGAATCCTCGCACTCCTTTTCTACTGCTGTCTTTGATCAATGTAAATTTAGTTAGTTCAAACCCTCCCTTTGCAGGTATGCAAGGCCCGCCGCGTCCTCCCTCAGGTCCACCTGGGCCTCCAGGACCCCCTGGCCCGCCTCCACCTGGGCAAGGTCTGCTGCCGCCCCTCAGAGGTCCTCCCAACAGAGGAGACCGTCCTCCTCCACCCGTCATGTTTCCTGGTCAGTTTGGTCAGCCTCCTATGGGTCCGATGCCTCCTGGCCCGCCCCCACCTGGATTCGGGCCTCCCCCAGGCCCCCCTCCACCTCAGCAGGGTCTGCCCCCTCCGGGACCCTTCCATCCCCGTCCACCTGGGCCCTTAGGACCCCCGCTTGGCCTCGCACCTCCACCTCACATGCAGGGACCCCCGCCTGGAGGTCCACCTCCGGCCCCTCACGTCAACCCGGCCTTCTTCCCACCGCCTGGAAACAACAACATGCCATCGTCCGACAGCAGGGGCCCACCGCCGGGTGAACTGTACGGCCGCCCACCTCCATACGACAGAGACTTCGGCCCTGGCGGCAGGTAATAAACACCTCACCATTACTGCACTGTAAATCTCACACGTAACGAGTTCTCAGGCCACACCGGTGGAAACAGAACTGGTTAGATTATATTTTAGGGCTGCACAATTTCAAATATAATTAAATCTTTTTTTTTTTTTTTTTCCTTGATAAAACAGCGCGTTTATTTTATTTTTTGTTATTGTTTTTTTGTCAAGCACAACAAGCTCCAGGTTTATTTACTGCTAAATTAAATTATTAAAGTAACACATTGTTCTAATTTCATTAATGTCAATTATTTTAAAAAGAAAAACTTACTTTACAGTTTTTTTTAAGCTCCATGTTTGTAGGGCTGCAAAATTTGGTTAGTAATACTTACAATAATAATAGTTGTAGTAATAGTATTTTTGTTATTGCTAAATGAAAATGTTAATTAAATTGTACATTAAAAATCTTTGTCAAATTTTTACTTTAAAATAAATATTAACTACTTATAGCAATAGAATTATAACTTATAATTTATATTATTATAATCTGTTTTTAAAACATTAATAACATTAAGTGTTTTAAGTCATCTGTTTCATCTGTTTAAAACTGTTTTATTGCACAATATTTTTTTTTACTGTTTTTGTGTGGAAACATGCAGCACATTAAGTAACAATTATTAATTATTACAAAAATATCAATAACTAATCATTGTAATTTTATATTTTAAATACTATAAAGCTTTATGGGCTTTACTCTGAAGCATGCAACGTGTATTAACTATAACAATGCTTAATTAGATAATTACAAAAAGTATTAATTTTATAACTAAAGTATATATAAAATATATGTAATAAAATAATCATATTTTAGAAGAATTGCTGTACTAATATATATATATATATATATATTATAAAATTATTATTTATTTATTTTTTTTTTTTACTCTAAAATGCAGCACACATTTCATTCAATCTCAGCCTTGGCGATTTGTTACTTACCCTTAACTCCAGGAGTGGATGTTATTAAAGCGTGTGGCCTCAGTCCGACCCTGAATCTCCTCTCTGGCCTTTCTTCAGTAACTTCAGACCCCCTGTAGTATGTGGCTTTGAGCCCTGGATAAACGAAGGGTTGGTTGATGTGAAAAACTCTGGCCGGCACTTGCACGGTACAAGTGATCAAGGGTTAGTGAAGTAACCGTCCGCTGAGACCAGGATCCTGAAGCGGGATCTTTTTTCAGGCTTGTGTGGTGTGAACGCATGGAGTGTGTGCCGTCTCTGCAGTGAATTTTAACAAGTGATGCACTGATGAGTTTTCATTTACAACGTACTAATTAGGGGTGCCTCGATTGATCGGCTACCGATCACTATCTGACGATAATCGTTTTGGGATGTTTGATCAGTGGTCTGGTGGTAAAAAGGCCGATCTCAAAAAACTGATCTCAAGCTGATGACTCGTCTGCCGTGCGAGGTTTGGCACGACATACAGTGGCGACACAGTGTCAGTCTCTGTCTGGCGCGGGTGAAATAATTATAATGCTGAAGGTGAGGTACAATTCATATTTCTTCATAAAATAACTCGTAAAGTAATTTGAAAACGGTGCGAGTGAATCACCGCACGCTCTCTCTATTTCACTCAAAATGCGCAAATGGCTTCAAATCACATTTCGCCTGCACTATAAGCAAGCTGCACAGTTGACACGGGAATTATCACTTGCACAATCGAGGCAGTGTTGCATCGTCACTAAAGTTTATGAATTGCATTTCTTTTGAATTCTTGCCAGTGTTTAAACCATTCAGCACTCACGCGCTCTCCTGGAGACTGTGTGCTCATGCGCACACACATAACGCCAGGTTCATACACTCTCCGTTTGCAGTGCGTATGTGGTGCTTTTTTTTTTTTTTCACGCTCATGTTAACGGATCTTAAAGCGTGCACACGGTAGCAGTCCGGTAGTGCATTCCATGAGCGGTGCGTCTGCAGCAGTACAGAGATCGTTTCTGCTGCACACGCTGAATTAAAGTGACAGCGCATTGTTTGCTGTAAATATGAAAATGAAAATGTAGTAATTACACCATAAATGCATATAATTAAAGTTTGCTGTGTTTCACAGTCAACACATATGGATTGTTGGCTAGGTTTAAAGGAATGGAGCACTTTTAGATGAACAAGGCAATAATAGATGGCACTCGTGGAGGTAGAAAAACAAAGTTCTTTATGAACCAGCATTGCTTGTAATAAAGATTTAAATGCAAAAAAAAGGCAGTAGAGCTGTGTTTCTGTCAGTGGTAAGTTTTAATTTAGAATGTTTGTGATAACGTAAGAAAAGTAGTTTAAATGTTTTGCCACTTGCTTGAGCAACTGTTGTGCTGTGTGTAAGCTATTGTGCAACAATTGCATGAGTGTAAAAACAAAAATGCACTTCATGATCAAACATTTAGGTGAGATAAATATATTTTTTTGAAAAGTCTAAAAAAAAAAATAAAAAAATGCTCCCCTCCACCCCTCAAATAAAAAAAAATCTCAAATTTAAATTAAAGTCACCTATAAGGGGGAAATTCCCCCCATTTTCAAAAATGAAATTCAGGCCCTGAATACATTTCTAAAAATCCTGATTGGAGTATTACTATAAATAATTCTACGTGATAGAAATAAGGCTTCAAGACCAGGAAGCAGATACTACTTTCTGTGATCGGCCTCAAAATCCTGATCGGAGCACCCCTAGTACAAATATATTTGGTTACTAAAATTTCAGTGCATCACTAATTTTAACATGCAATGTGATTCAGCACTAACGGCACTGCTGCTCTCTGTGAATTTGGACCCTGATGCATTGCTGTTTCTTTCTGACTCATGCTTTTATTTCTCAGTGCATCTGCTTTTTCTCTTTTAGGGACATGGATTCGTCTCGCGCTCCTCTGAGTGAAGCTGAGTTTGAGGAGATCATGAATCGTAACAGAGCGATATCCAGCAGTGCTATCTCGAGGGCAGTGTCAGATGCGAGTGCAGGTGCGAACACTTACCCATAGCATGAATGTTTGGTTTGGTTTGCCATGTGGTAATTAAACACACTCTGCTTTTGCAGCTGATTACGGCAGTGCTATAGAGACTCTGGTGACCGCCATCTCTCTGATCAAGCAGTCGAAGGTTTCTGCTGACGACCGCTGCAAAGTCCTCATCAGCTCACTGCAGGACTGCTTGCATGGAATCGAGTCCAAATCCTATGGCTCTGCGTCGAGGTAAAGATCTTGTGGATCTATCTACATAGTATTTTTGTGTTTGCTGTAGGGGATGCATCATTATGTTTGCATGAGTGAAATATCTTTTGAGATCACTTTTCTGCTGATTTAACCAAAGTAATGAGTGGGAGTAAAAATCTGATTTGATGATCGAGATTAAAACGATACAGTCCCACCCTGTATATTCTGTTAAATGTTTCAGTATAAAACGGTGCATATGAAATTGCTTCTTTGCAAAATTTGGTGCGTTGCAAAATTGTGCATGTAAAATTGATGCATTGCATAATTTGGTGCAGTGTGTAAAGATGGATGCAAAAATAATGCATGCAAAATTATTTAATGTAGCCTATTAATGCATTTCAAAATGATGCATGAAAAACTGATGCATTGCTAAATAATTTGGTGCAATGAAAAAATAGATGCAAAAATTAATTTTGCGTGCATTTTTTTTTTGCATCAATTTTTACATTGCACCAAATTGTTGCAATGCATCAAATAGATTTGCAATGTATCCAATAATTTAGCTTGTATTGTAAAATTATTTCATGCATGTGAAATTGATGCAGCGCAAAAAAAAATGCATTCAAAATTTGTGTATTAAATGTATTGCAAAATTTCACGCATGTAAATGGTGAAATGTGAAATGTGCATTGCAAATATTTTCATGAATGCTAATTTATTTGGTGCATAGCAAAATTATTTCATAAATATCAAATTATTTGATGCAATGCAAATTTATTTGGTCCGTTGCAAAACTATTACTTGCGGTTTCATATTCTCTTTAATGCTTTTCGACCTTAAGCAGACGGGAACGGTCCAGGGAGAGGGACCACAGTCACTCTCGTGAGAAGCATCGCCGCAAGTCTCGCAGCCGAGACCGACACGAGGACTATTACAGAGAGCGCAGCCGCGAGAGGGACCGTCATCGTGAGAGAGACCGTGACCGCGAGAGAGACAGAGAACGTGAGCGGGAGTATCGCCGTTAGTTGGAGAGGAAGGTGTGTATCCTGTTTGTCTCCCTGTCTTTGTTTTTCTCCCATCTTTCTTAAGGATTCAGATGTACATGCATCTTATCCTGCAGAGGTCGGGACCACAGGTACGTGATCAGAAAAGGTGAGTCCCTGAACCTATAATGTAATGACAAGTACTATCATTTTTTTCCTCCTACAGCTAATCTATTTTTTTTTTTCTTTTTATGTACGAATGTAGCGTGATCGGAGTACTCTGATCCTTAAAACTTGTGTACCTGGTCTTGAAGCCGTTTAATGTGCAATATCAGCTCCAGCAACCATAAACTGTCCCACAATTGTTGATGATATCCAGTTTGTCTTTGAAAGGATTTTGTGTATTTCAGCATTTTATTTAAAAAAAATCAAAATGCATTTGCATTTTAAAATGCAAGTTATTGCACTTATTTGTCCATTTAACTGAGATTTGCTGCTACTTTTGAGATTATGCCAATGTCAAACAACACTTCCCTCCTTATTTTACCTAATTGACCAATTGCTTGCCAAAAAAAATTAAATTCAGGATATTTCATGCCTTTAGAATTGCGATTATGAAATATAAATTCAACGTGTGACCATAAATGTATAGAAAATTGGTTGAAGTTTGATGAGAGAAAATGAATGTATTGAAATGAGCAAAATTGTTTCTCAGGTTGTGCGTTGACATTCCTGCAGGCAGATTTGATGTTGACATAATGGTTGTTCTAGTGTTTAGTTCCTCACTGATTTGTTGTGAAAAGCAAATTAATGGAGTCAAATTGATCTGCTTTGGCATTTAAAAACGTGAAGCTTGTAGTCTGTCAGGTTGAGTTGTCATGGTGTAGGCAAATTAATTTTTTCATGTGTAAGGTTTAGTCTTGAGCACATCTGTACAGTATAATTTAAGAAAACGCATTCTGAATGTCTTTTGTCAGAACAAGCTAAATGTATTTTTACTGTCAAGGGTCATTTTGTGCATTCTAGTATTTCAGTCACATCTAGATCTACAATGTCAGAGTAACACCAATTATGCTTTTCATTTTATATCATCTCCTTTAATGCTTAATGAATGGAGAAGAACTGCTATGTTGCTTTTCCAGAGGTAACATGAACGTTTTTAGCATTTTTATGCTTTTTTGCTTCTTATTCTCTTGGTAAACACACGTTTGTGATTATTTAAGTTTGATTTAATATGCAACAGATATTTAATAAATATTTTCACAATCAGTATTTAAATGAATGCAGCACATGTCCTCAGTTCAAACCCTGTTGTTCTGATTTTAGAAACTCATTACTGTCTAACCTGTTGCTTAATGGCTCTGCTGTGTGACGGTGTTTCCTACAGGCTAAATTTGTACATAAATGTAAATTTGTACATAATTTGTGTGTAAATGCTGAGGACACTGTAATATCATGTGTGATGCATTGTGAGTGACCCCACATATGCTAGATTTAGATGCAAAAAAAAATACAAAACAGTTAAACTAAAACTGCAACTCAGGTTTAGCAAATAGATTGTAAATATTTTGTTGAATGTAATTCTGGTAGCCTCCAAATTGTTGTTCTGGCCTCCTATCCAAAAATGGCCAATTATTCAGGTGTTTGTTTGTTTTATTTTTGTTTTCTCTGTGTTCTCAACTGTACAACCTAGAGTTGTAGCAACACCAATCAGAGAAAGTCAGCAATGCACAATTTGCATTTTGATTTGTTCCGCTGTTATTAATTCAGAAATCATGTTGCACTTTTAATACGTGTTTTTAGTCTAAAGTATGCGTCAGGTTAGAGATTTTGAATAGAGATTTTAAGCACTGCAAACTTAAAGGAATTGAAAGCATTTGCTCCATGCGTAGAGCCCTGTTCCATTGGATTTATTGGGATTTTTGAATGTAGTGCCCATTTGTCTGGAGTTCATCTGCAGAAATGACTGTTCCCAGGTTATTTGTGTAGGTTTTTCTGAAGTAATGGTCCTGACGTGGTATTAATCACACCCCTTTTCCTCTGTTCACTATTGTGCTTTATAAGATGCTGTCACAGGATTGGACAAACTTGTGTTTTTGTGATCGTTACAGGTACTAGTAATTAGGGGTGTGCGATATATATCGTCTGCGATAATATCGTAATTGTTGTTTTAACGATGTGCGATTTGACATTATCGAGTATTTTGCAAAAACCATTCAAAACATCCCTACAGAGCACACGCATACATTACGTGAAGTCTAGACTAGTGCGTGTGTTTGCTTGGTAACAGCCCAAATGTCTTATTCTAATTCCCTGATTAAATGTAAGAATTTGACTCAAAAGATAATGGACACTTCTAGAAAAAATGGCTTTATAAAGGTAAAAATGCAAATGCAATGCAAAAATGCAAAATGCAAAAATCAGTTTAAACTTATTGGAAAAGATTAATTTCTATCAGTATGAACTGACCACCACACAGAATATGAAGAATATTAAAAACATTAGGAGTCAGCTGTCTTCGGCAGTCCTTAAGGTACCAGCACAATAGCACACTCAGCAAAATATCGTCTAATTATCGTTATCGATAAAATCCTATAAAATATCGAGATACCATTTTTTGTCAATATCGCACACCCCTGCTAGTAATTGTAATTCCAAACACAAACTACACTGTGACATACTTGACAAATTCAGTGCAAGAATTTCCATGTGTTCATGTCTAACTTGCGAAATATTTATTGTATTAAAATGGGCTGAAATACCTGTGAATGACTAAAGACACACATTGATGTTTTAATAAGAAATCACATCTTTTGTACGTTTTATATTTGGTCCATTTTTCTTGACTAACAGAAGGGCAAAGTATGATTAGTCGCTGAATTTTGTCCAACCCTGTGTACTGTAACTCCAGTGTCCACTGAATCACTAGAATCAAGCAATTTAGTATAGAACTTTTTTTTTTTAGTCAACTCTTAGCAATTTAATTTCTGTTCAGTAGAAATTATGCATAAAATGGTAAACAATTGTAAACCGTTGCATCTTAAAAACAAATGCTTTTTGCTTTGGGGGTGGATCAAATTTGAAATGTGAATTTGATGCTTGTTCTCAAGAGGTAAAGTGGACACTATACTTTGTGCTTCACAATTTTTGTCAATGGAGGGAAATATTAAGAGTTAGTATTTTTCCTATTGTAGAAAAAAGAAAATACAGGTTAGCATTTCCAGTTTTGTTCAGTTGAAGTTGAATAACTAGTTAAATACTCTAAAGAATCTTAAATGATTGGATTATCGATTCATTGAGAAATTCGGTAAAAGCCAACATAAAATGCGTTGTTTTTAAGTATGTTTGTATTTTGGCAGTTTACCATGTGGACTTATTGCCCATGATCGAAGCATTATTTTGCCGACGTGAAATTTGAATGTTATTTTGACACCTTTTAGATGTGGTGTTCCATTAGATATAGATATGAAGTATGAGCACTAAGTGATTTGAAGTAGATCACATCTGCTTATATAATTGATTTTACCTGTGAAATTGATTTTGTGCAGCAAGCAAAAAAAACTCAAAATAATTACTAGTTAGACTTGTTAGAAGCCATAAGAGATTATACATGTTATACATTGAGACAAACCAATCAACCAAAATGTCAATCAGTATCATCATATAGGGATTTTTATGCAATTTAAATTGCATATGTGCATAACCTTGTATTCTACCGATCCAGCTCATGCATGCACTTTTTCTGTACTTCATTGCAGTGGAATAGCGGTTTTTCATCTTCAATATTCCTTTTTTTTTTTTCTTTTTTTTTTTTATATATCCTCATCTTGTTCCAAACCTGTATCCTTTTGTTTTATGGAGCTTTTTGGCTAAAATGTGCTTTAAAAATACAACACTACCAAATGTATTTCAAATCTCACTCATTCAAATCTCGTGTTGGTAGTACAGATGCTGATTTGTATGGGTTTGTTTTGGTTGATTGATTTCTCAATGGGACTAAAAGCCATATATTTTCATATGACTCTACTAATGCATATTTTGCCAATTGGTCAACTCGTATGAATTACAGTTTTGATGTGGGGTATTGTGCATTTGAATACTATAAATTTTATCATTGTCATGGACGAATAATAGACATCAGACAAGATTGATTGCTAATGATGATTTTAAAGAAATAGTTTATCCAAAAATGAAAATTTGCTGAAAATGTGTTCACTTAAGCCATCCAGGATGTAGATGAGTTTTTCTTCATCAGGTTTGGAGCAATGTAGCATCACTTGCTCACCAATGGATCCTCTGCAGTGAATAGGTGCCGTCAGAATAAGAGTCCAAACAGCTGATAAAAACATCACAATAATCCACAAGTAACCCCATTCACAAGTCCATTAGTTAACATCTTGTGAAGCCACAAGCTGTGTTCATAAACAAATCTATCATTAAAATAAACTGTTGCTTCCTTATTTTAACAACTAAACTACGATGTTAACTGATGGACTGGAGTGGTGTGGATTACTTGTGGATTATTGTGATGTTTTTATCAGAACTCTCGTTCTGACGGCACCCATTCACTGCAGAGGATCCAGTGGTGAACAAATGATGGAATGCTTCATTTCTCCAAATCTGATTAAGAAACGAACTCATTAACATCTTGGATGTCAAATTCCGCAAACTTTCATTCCTGGTTGACCTATTCCTTTAAGTAATGTCCATCAGAGTGAAAATGACGTATTTGCTGAGTTGTGTTGCAGTGTTTCATAGTTGTGCATGCCAATGTCTTTATGATTGTGTCGTCTCTTCACTCTGTATTTATACACTGAATCCAGGGGCTTGTTTCAAATACAGTGTTTGTTATTGACTGCAGTTAATGTTGTACCTTTACTAGGGATGTAACGATTCACTCAACTCGCGATTCGATTCACGATTTTTTTAACAAAATGAGATTTAAGACAAATAAATTAAATGTGTCCTTTTATTATTGCTTGGACAAAATGCTGCACATTTCTTTGGGAAATTGAAATATAACACTATAATATACTAATATAGCACTTGCATTTTATTGCTCTTTTGATGGTTTTGATTGCTTCTATTGTCTTCGTTTGTAAGTCACTTTGGATAAAAGCATCTGCTAAATGACAAAATTTAAAGGGGGCATAACACACACAGTTTCACCCAATCTCATGTTAATCTTGAGTACCTATAGAGTAGTACTGCATCCTTCATATCTCCAAAAAGTCTTTAGTTTTATCATTTATAAAAGAAAGATAGAGTTTTACGATTCTCTCTGGAAAAAGCCGAGCTCCTGGAGGTGCGCCGTGTGTGGAGCTAAAGAGTGACGAGCACTTGGGCGCCGAATGCCAACAAAACAGACATTTGATGCCGTTTCACTTACCGTCTGCAGTTCTGAATCATGACCGGGATCTTTTATAGCTGGGACTGCTCCATTTTTCAGTATCAAACGATGTGCAAATCCAGCATCGAACTGGGCCTTGTTTATAAAACGTTTGTTATCTTTCGTTCGTAAGTTATCTTTCCCTTACAACCAAAAACACACTTTGGATTGGTGACATTCTTCCCGAGCGAATCCCGTGCAGCGCTGCAGCCGGATGAAGCGCA